AGAGGTTAAAGAGATATTGTATATTACAACCTAAATAGATATATAGCTTAGATTATGTAATGATGGTTATATTATGTGATTTATAACAAATTATTTGGTTTTGCAGTTATGGCAACAATTACAAACGTTGAAGCAAAATGTTTACTCACTCAAGAAGCTCCTGAATTTAGGTTGTATCATGAAGCTTTATTGAAGATAGTACAACCAGCAATACAAAAAAAAAGTCAGGATTGCAAGCCAGGGTGTGTACAATGTTTGATCCCATGGGACCCATGGACTGTGGATTGTTTTTGTACATGCTGATTTCTAATATCAAATTGATCAAATAAATAAATACTTTTATTTAACTATAAATCTGATTTGTTATTATTATTTATATTTTATTATATAAATTTGAATATCAGTGTTAATAATTAACATGATTCCGACACGAGACAATCATCTCAATTATGATTTTGACACATGTTAAAACCATGTAGTCGTAAACTTTATGACTAATTTGCGACTGATAGATGGGTCGACTTTGTAAAATGGTATCAAATTACGACTGGGTAAGGACTATATTATGACAATTGTGTGACTAATTTACAACTGATTACCGACTCTTTTTGTCATGAAAATGAGTAAATGGTATTTGCATTCTTAGATTTACTATTTGACAATGTAAATTAAATCTGTTGAAATTAAAATATATAAAACCTTAATTATAATTAACATATAAATAACACAAATCCAAATACACAAATTCAAAAACTTGTAATTACCATTTGAATTGTATGTATACAAAGCAAAACTCTAACAGTGGAGCTAACAATAAAGAAGAAGAGGTAGAAGAAAACAAACATAGGAGAATAATGGAGAAGTAGAAAAATAATGGATAAAAACGAAAGAAGAACGGAAAAGAAGAAGAAGGAAAAAAAAAGAACAGGGAAGAAGAAGAGAGAATAAGAAGGTAGTAGAAGAAGAAGAACGGAGAACAACACATAAAAAGATTTTGTTGAAAATTTGTCTGTCTAACCTGATAAACATTAACATTGATAGCTTTTATTTATTTATTATATAATAATTATATATATATATCTATAAAATTAGAACATGTGAATGTTAAAATAGATAATTATCATATGTTCAACTGAACTGAATTCTATATTAAACATGTGTTTACATAAGATTGAATCTGTCAAGTTTTTAACTTTAAAATTTCGTACAAACAAATGTGATGCCAATCAAGTTCAAAAATACTTATGCCACATGGACTCCAAAATCTAATTTCAATCCTCATAACAAATAAAACCAATCTATAATTCTTATAACTATAAAAGTACACATTCTTAATCTCATTTATCCTATCTCATTTCATAAATTATATAATTTAACTGGTTTTAATTACATTTGCTCGTACGAGTGTGCGGGTTAGAACCAACATTTTTTTATAACTATTTCTTTACCCAAAATCAATTGCTCTTGCGGGTGCGTGGGCCAGAACCTAGATGAAATCAATTTTTTTGGTATCACGATATATTTCAACCCACGATAATAAATTCCACATAGAAGTCAATATTTATGAATGGCTAATAATCATGATTTTTCAATACATTATTCTTACAAAAAATTAAATATATCGTGATACAAAAAATTATTTAATTTTTGTCCATTCAAAAATTAATTGTACGCGCAAGCGCGCGAATTAGAACCTAGTTAAGTCTTATCTAGAAGGAGATGGATTAAAAGTTAATCAAAAAGGGAGCTGTTACGGTGTTGTGTGTCGGGTTGGAAGTTAAGTTGATGGAGCCGGTTGAGAATCTATGAAGTTTACAAAGGCCTGATCAGTTGCTAACAGAAATTCTCCACCAATGACAAATGCTCGAGATTGTTTTGTTGTTCAGCCGCAACTCGGGAAATATCAGCTTCACAGGCAGCAATCTCTTCATCACGTCATGCATTATAAGCAGTTTTTTCCTCTATCTAACGCTAAGCTTCTTGTAATTGTTGTTGCAGTGCAACAAACGATGAAGAACATGTCCCCGGGTACTTACGCTTGACATTGACAAGGGTATTTTTTGGGACTTCCTAGTCCATATGGGAGGCCTAAATTGATCATCAATTTTTTCTGTCTCCTAATGTGAACCGCTTGACTGGTTTTTGTCTTGTAAATACTCTGTCAACATCTCACAAATTGAATCTATGCACTTTTCACTCATATCATAATCTGCCTTATTTTGCAGAATCTGGGCAGCTAAAGATAACTGCGAGTAACCATTAGGACAACCCTCGTATAATGGATTTTCCGCTCCTTCTAACAAGTCATAGAATTTTTTGAGTGGTTACGTACCGGTTCTTGTACATTCTTAAAACCATCATTATGATGATATTTATCAAAATTGACAGTATAACGAAATGCATCGTTCAACATATCAACATATTTATCTTCTACTACATTATCCACTTCTTCACTCTCATTCTTATGCGTCATATTTACATTACTCATTCCTAAATCCATATTGATTTCTTCTTCATGTTTATAAACATAATAATCTGGCATAATCCTCTACTGTACAGATGATTCCAAACTTTTGTCCTCCAGATAAATTTATCGTTTTTGCAAACACTACAAGGGCAGTGAAACTTGCCCTTATTGCTCTGCACTAGAGGTTGGTTTTTTGCAAATGTCTTGAATTGATCAATCCCCGCTATGAAACCTGCTGAGAAATTTTCTGTCTCTTCATCTATCCTCTTATACATCCACTCCCGAAAATTATTATAATTGTAGTTTCCCAATATTACAATTATATGAAAAACTTACTTTTTTTTTGTTTTCACTCCAAAAAAATGTATCGGTACTCTCTCTTTTTTATATTTTGAGTTTCTATCGATGAGAGGAAGCAATGTGCGATGTTTGATATATATCGATAAATTTTGCGATCAAAATGCAACTATGTTTTACGACTGATTTACCACTACAACATGTAATCACAGAAATTATATACATCAATCACTTAATGAAGAAAACGTGGTTATACTGGTTTTTTACAACTAAAATGCAACTGTTGTGCGACCCATCAAAAGAGTTACTCATTAGTCGCAAATTTTGCGACTAAACTTCTGCGACATCATCGTAATCGTAAATCAGTCACCAAGTAGCAAATGTTTTGCGACTATTTCTGTGTGATCAAGTAATAGTCGCAAGATAGTCAGACAATTTTACAACTATAATAGTAGTCATAAATTGTAGTCGTGAAATCGCTGTTTTCTTATAGTGGGTAGTGACAATAACTAACATTACCGAGCTCATTGAGTCTGGTAATTGGAATGAGTACAATCTAAATTCTTTAATGAGAATCTATTGGAGGGTAAGTATATCATGATGTTCATATGATATTTGGTGGTAGCCTTGAAGGTCATAAGGCGGCATTAGAGGGAGGGGAGGGGGGTGGGATTTCAAGACTCTCTTGTCAAGTGAGAGGATTAAAGGGAAATAATAACTTACCATAAGTATTTTATTACTATCTTATTGATGATTTAAAATTTATTAATAATGGCTAGTTTATTCGATTTAAAAAACTAGATTAAAACAAATAAGAATAAGAGTTTAAACATATCAAAAAGTAATTGAATTAGTATTAAGCCACTGTTACAAATAATGTGCAGTTACTAATCTTGTTTTATTGCTTATTAGGTTGTTAGAATCACAAACTTTCTTGTTATTGCTTGGATTAGAAATCATCTTGCAATATTGGTGTCACAACAATTCCTAAATGTATTGATACCGCAACTACTACAATAACATGAGTAGTGTTTGTCAGATCACCATGGCTGAATAAGTATCAATGGGCAACACCATCAAGCTCAGCCTATACCATTGCCTAGGTAGATCCATGACTTCCAAACAAATAACACGACCATCCAACCTAGGCTAGAGTGAAATCGATGGCAATGAGCCACCGGCCCAGCCAAACTCCCCCGCCCCCCTGACAATGTCCTCTGCTCGGATCGACCCACCAAAGCGAGCCTTGGGTCCAAAAGAAGGAGTTTTTAACCTTTATAGCTGCTATGAATGTGGTCAAGCTTGTTCAAAGATGATCATGTCTACATCTCATCATGCAAGGCTTGTCAAAGGAAATGGAACATAAGTAGAAGAGATGAAATGCCCGTAAATCCCACCTTGAAGTTGACTTGTTTGATGTTTGGGGCATTGATTTTATAGGTTCCTTCCCTTCTTTATATGAGATAAATTTCCTTTTTGGTGATTGTGGATTATGTCTTAAAGTGGGTTGAAGTTATCATGAATCATCAGAGCAACGAACAGAGCTCACATCAACCTTTTATCAAATAAATGCATCCTTTCCAGAAGTTGGGGGTTGCTGCACATATTAGCTCCAAAATTACTACGGTTATTTGAGTAGTAGTTATTATCAAACATGTTATAACCGATTTGATGAGCCATTCCAGTTTCACAGTCTGAATTGATAACCTTGTTTTATTGATATGTATATAGTAACTATGAAAATTAATAAATGCCTTCAATTCATCCCTTTTCCTGAATGGAACTAGACTTCAAGTGTTCGAATGTGGGAGCTTGGAAGGAGGCTTAATCTTCATACGACTCCTGAATCGAGTCTCTGAACAAACCAGACCTCTTATTTCTCGATCAATTTTACCGCCTCGACCTCCCTTCTTTTCTTCATTGTCTAAAAGACTAAAAATGAAGAACAGGAAATCTTAAATGCCTCCAAATGAAATACTTTTAAATGTTGCTTTTGAGTTTTGGAGCCTAAATTTTCATGTCATAAAGATATGACATCAGACGACAATGTTACGATCAGCTACGACAGATTCTTCATTTCTTTCTTCTTAGCCTATAAGGCGAGGTACAATCCTACCACGATAATGGTTGTACTTATAATGCTGTAATGTTGCCAAGTAACAGAAACTGTTTTTAATATGCAATCTATAACTTCAGAAATGATCAATAGATCAACAAGCAGATCATAAGTTTGTACCTTCCAGAATGAATTGGCTTGTAAAATAAGTAATGTGACAATGACAACAACCACAAGTCTTGCAGGGCTAAACATGGACACAAACACCGGCCTATTAGACTCCACGCACCACACAATGACTGTGAATGCCATCACAGAGATCATAATTCCCTACAAGCAATATTAATTAAACCAAAAAGAATATAGAAAAAGAGTGAGAATATTAAATGTAATCATTAGTTTGGTTGGTATACCGAAAAGATACGGGCAAGCAATCTAATATCCCATCCTAGTCTCAAATCTTCTAAAAACAAATTGGATTTCCAACAAATAGCCACAAGAAGAGTCACAAAGCTCCCCATCAGGTTTATCCGGGCCGTGTTCCAGTATATAGGGTCCTCCAAGTCCTTCACCTATTCTAACCTATTTAATAATAAATAAATAAAATAGTTATCATTTTTTTGTACTAATCTTAAATGACAGCATTGTTTGATATGTAGATTCTTTTCTAGAAAAATTAGTCTGATCTATAAGTTATATATTTACATACAAAGAAAAAGAAAGAAATGAGAACTTGCCTGCAAGAGAATCCAAATGAGTAAGAGATCATACTTCCTAGTATAAGAAACCCTCCGAGAAAGGAAATGCTATGAGTGGTACCATTATGCGGTCGACCTCCCAGATAAATGTGAGTCGCGTAGAGATGGATCCTTTTTTTTCGTACAATACAAAGAAAAACGCTCTACCAACACCAAGTAGCATCCTAATCAGCTTGGCCTTCCCAATCAGCTTGGCCTTTCCCTAGTTCGATCCAAGCTGCACTCTTTCTATTCTGTAAGATATATAGAAAAAAACACATAAATATTTATCTTAAAAACCATACAGCTTACTACGTTAGTACGTTTCAAAATATTTGATGTTCTAAAGAATAAAATTGTTTCAAATTATATGGTGTTTTCAACTCTTAATGCAAAACTTATTATTATTTTTATGTTTTATGACTATTGCATTTTGTTGATTTGTTTTACTATTAGTTTAATTGTGCTTAGGTAGATGATTAATGATTTTTTTTTATTTTACAAAGATACAAATAAAAAGTTTCTTAACCTGTGTGCAAAAACCTTAAACATAAGTATTTTGAAACACATGATATATAAACTTAAATTTGCAACTCCTTTTCTTTGCTACATATATTATTCAAAATATATAATGTTTAAATTTTTTGCAAACAGATTAAGAAAACATTTAACTTTTATATTTGTTTTAAAAAAGTTATTATTCATAAACACAATTAGACAAATGATACAACAACCTGCTGAATACAAATGGTTATAAAACATTAAAAAAATATTAAATTTTACATAAAAAGTTGAAACATTATATAATTTAAGATAAAACAAAATTTATAAAACATCAACTACTATGAATTAAAGGGAATATAAAAAACATGACTAGTTAATTCAATGAAGTATGACCAGTTATTATTAAATGCAAAAACTTTAACCGTTTTTTATTACTAACTATGTGGTTGGTCCGCTGTATGCATGAGAATTTTGATACAAATTAGTTAATAATATCATTAAATAATAATATGTATCATTATGATAAGTGAGTGGTCTGTTTATTAATATATTATAAAAAATATTAGTTTATGAAAAAATATTTTAATAAATTTCAGAAATTGTATATAATAAAAATTAAAATATACACAAAACTCCAAATATTTAAAGAAAAAACGTAAAATAAAAATGGTTCTTCTTTATTCTTCGTCTTATTTGTCTTCTACTTTTTTATCCATATTTTTCATTTTATTATAATTTTTCTTCTCATTCCGTCATCTTTCATCCCATTTCTGGTTTCTAATTCTCACTATATGATTTGAATACATTCAAATATAATAAAAAGTATGTTTTTTGTATGAAACAGGGTGAGATGCTAATAAATTTTAAGAAATTCTCACTCCAAAAATCTTATTCCGCAAATTTCATACACAAAACTTGAACTTATGAATATCCTGTCAAAAAAAATATTTAAAAATAAGATTCTAAAAAGTTTCTGTCAAAAGCCCGAGTCCACAAATTTTCTGCAAAAAATGGGAATCAGTTATATTCCCACAAAAAATAAGTCAAAAATATGATTTCATAAATATTTTGTCAAATTTTGATTTTGTGAATTTTCTGCCAAACAGTGAATCCATGTAAAAATTTCACCAAAACATTTATCTTGAAAATGTGATTCCAAAATCTACCATTCAAAATTTTAATTTCATTAATATTCTGCCAAATGAGTGAAGCCATAAAGTTTTCATTATAAATTTATTTAAAAATATGAATTCAAATAAAATTCCGTCAAAACCCGATTCCAAATATTTTCTCCTAAGAAGTGAATGTATAAATTGTCTGTCAAAATTTGTTCTACAAATCTAAATTTTAAAAGTTTTCATCAGTAATTTGATTTTACAGTTTTTTGCCAAAAATTTTGAATCCATGATTTTTCTGTTGAAAATATGAAATTATAAACTTCTTTGCAAAATAGAAAGGCACGAATTTTTCGTCAATACTTGAAATTAGTAAATTTTGCAATAAAAATTTTGTGTCAAAAATATGATTTCAAATATTTTTGATAAAAATCACTTTTCCTAAATTTTCTGCTAACAATTTTAATATTTAAATCAAAAATGTAATAACAAATTATAATAATATTACCTGACAAGTCATGTGAACTAAAAATAGACATGTCATAATTACATCATCATTACATATCATCATTTTCATGTTAAATTAAAAAAATTCAAACTAAACATATCAATCAATAAAATTAAAATAACTCATCAATTTTTATTAAACTACATTCTCAATATAAATATAAAGTGAGTTGTATGACCAGTTAAATTCATAACCATTACTATTGGAAAAGTCAATATGTGCACAAAGTAAATTTCAAGATTTATATTATTCGTAAATATAGTCTTTAATTTTAGTTTATTTTGTTCAAAGTAAAATTTAATTCCCATTATAAGGAAACTTTGACAAAAAAAAAAATCATAGAAGTTAATCTAAAAAAATTGTTGACTCAATATATAGAAGAAAAAAACAAACGAATGTCATAATACCTCATAAGAAGTTTGACTAATTAAATGCTAATATTAATTCAAGAACTAGAAAACACCGCAAATTAATTTCTTATTCACACTCATTCATGTACACTGCCATCAAACTTATACGATTAATCTATACTAAATAAAAGGAACTATTTGGGGCTCCTTAAGCTATCCACCTCAGCTTTTCAAACTATTCTAAAAATATGACACATCAGCAAAAAATAATAATACAAATTCCCACTTTAAATTTTTTTGAAATACACATAAAATAAATAAATAGAACCAAAATTAATATAGTTAAATACAAGAGTAAATAAAAATAAAATATTATTTTTTGAATCAGTAAAATAAATATTATTTAAATCTATAGCATCAATATATATTCTTTTGTTTGTAATATAACAAATTAACAATAATGAAAATTCTCACTTTAGATTTTTTAAAATACACATAAAATAAATAAATAGAACCATTAAATTAATATAGTTATTGGCAAAAACTAAATAAAACTATATATAATTTTAATCAGTAAAATAAATATCATTTAAATCTGTAGCATTAATATATACTCATTTTTGTCACTAAAATTAATATAGTTACCAACAAAAGTAAATAAAATTAAAATATTAAATCAGTAAAATAAACATCATTTAAATTTATAGCATCAATATATACTTCTTTTGTTTGTAATATAACAATAATAAAAAATTTCACTTTATATCTTTTGAAATACACATAAAATAAATAAATAGAACCACTAAGTTAATATAGTTATTAGGAATAGGTAAATAAAACTAAATATCATTTTCTAAATCAGTAAAATAAATATCATTTAAATCTGTAGCATTAATATATACTCCTTTTTATAATATAGTGAATATATTAGACAACAAATTTCTCTAAAAAATTAAATAATAGTTAATAGAAACAAGATTACAAAATAATAATTTCTAAAATAAAATTTAAAACATTTACAAATTATAAAAATCTAAAACATTCACTTTTTAGAAACATACAGATTAAGCATCATAGTACGTTAGATTTAAGGCAACCAACAAGACAACAGAAATTATAGGAAGCTTTTCAAAGCATCTATCTATATGAAGATTTCGATCATCGTTACTATTTACATTGCAGAAAATGATAGACATAAGAAGAATTTCATGCACTGATATTTTTTCAATGTGTGTCTTAGTTGGCTTAAGGTAGTCAAGAAACTACAAGCGATACATGTCAACACATGAGTTAAACAGTTTATAAACAAAAATTAAGTTTTAGATGACAGTTAATTTTTATATATATCAAGTTAGTAAATTTTTAAATTAAATAATAATGCATTTTTGAAAAAATAACATACACATTTTTATGTAGAAGAAAATATCTAAAAAAATCTCTAATTATCCACATCAACAAAATTCCTTATAAACCCAACTTGAATGAAAAACTAATATGGTTTTTTTTACTGGGTTAAGAAACTTTTTTAAAAATAATATAATATATACTATTAGTTTAATTATAAAGGCTCATCAAAATATATATGTGTAGTTTAAGAAAAAATGTTTAAGTTAAATTACAAGCAAAATTTTTTACATCTTTTGAGTTTTGAGAAACTCAACATACTTTATTTAACATAATGAGTTAGTATGAAATTGTATTTGTATATGTATTACTTGCCTTATTCATCTATATTTTTTATAGTGTACGTATACTTCATAGACCAAATCAAAATTGCATTTTATCCATATGATTGTGATTTTTTATACTATGTAAATATTGTTTTTATTTATATGAATCATAGTTATTTTATAGATTTATAAGAGATTAGAATATTGAGTGTTGTTTGTATTTGAGATTGCTAATTAAATAAAAACACTACACGAACACAGTTGAAATAAAAATAAAAATCTAAATTAATTGAAACAATAATAATCAAATTTAGTCAAAACAAAAATCATTTTAATAATATTTTGAAAGTTAGTAGTGAATAACATTGAGTTTAACAGTTAATTTTAGCATATATCAAGTAGGTAATTCTTAAAATTATATCATGATACATTTTTTGAATACGTTAAAATAGTTTTGATGTATAATCATATCAAAACAATTTTAAAAATTAAATATTATATTTAAAATATTAACTTAAAGTGAAAATACTTTAACTTAAATAATAATCAAATATCTATATAAAAACAATCCGCGTGTAGCGCGGAAACATCCCTAGTACTTGAAAATTTAAACTAATGTATATTAATTGTTAAGTTT